GGGCAGGCAGGGCTGCTGCTGCTGCCCCCGCTGGCATGGGGACAGGACCCATGGGCAGGCAGAGCTGGTGCGTGGGGACAGGACCCACAGGCAGTCAGAGCTCCTGCTGCTGCCGCATGGGGACAGGACCCATGGGCAGTCAGAGTTTCTGCTGCTGCTGCCCCCGCTGGCATGGGGACAGGACCCATGGGCAGTCAGAGCTCCTGCTGCTGCTGCTGCTGCAAAGTTGGGTGGAGAGTAAGGCTAAATTTAAGGCATAGGTATGTGAGTTATCTCTTTACAAGACAAAGAATATGTAAAAAAGTTAAAATGGTATCAGTGCCCGTATGGTCTGGCCATTTGGCGGTCCCACAACTTTTAGATAAGAATTAAACCGGATTGAGTAAATGGCAGAAGTCACTCACCACTTGAATTTTATCCTCGGCTAAAGACAAAGGAGGATTTGTTCGGGGCGGGGGGGGGGGGGGGGGTGGGGGTGGGGGGGTGGGCGGGTCAGTTACATGAGGTTGCCAGACAGTAACCAACTTAAGTTCTTGCCTCTGGCATTGATTAAGAGCTTCTAGACATAAGACGATCCCCCCTTCTTCCTGGCACAGAGAGGGAGGCATCTTCACAGACAGAGGTTTCCCTTAGAAATGTAAATGTTTCCCAACAAAGGGGCAAACAAATTCCACTCCTTGGAGCCTGAATCTCATCTGTAGTTTTAAAACTAACCAGCCTAAAAATCCTCATCACATGCTACAACATGGAATGCCCTGAAAAAATTATACCAAGTGAATTAAGTCAAACACAACGACCACATATTATAGAATTTCATTCATATGAAAGTCGACAAATATGGACATTAATAGACACAGACAATAGATTGGTGCTTGTCTAGGGCTGGCGCTTGGAGCAAGCTAAGTGGGAAGATAGGGCAGTGATAGGTTAAGGATATAGGAGTTTCTTTTCAGGTGATGGAAATATTCTGAAATTGACTGCGGTGATGATTGCACGGTATGTGTGAATCAACTGAAGATCAGTGCGTTGTAGACATTAAAGCCCTCTATTGTATAGTATGCGTATTGTTTCTTGGGGGCGGGGTGAGGGGGAACCACATCTGTTCAAATAAATGGATAAATGGATTAGGGATGTGTAATGCAAATAAGTTAGGCATCCAATCTAAGCATACGAATACTTTCCAGGTACATCCCACATTTACATAACCTTTTCTTGTTTTCTTGTTATATCAGTCCAAATAGGAACTGAATTTCCTTAGGGATATTAAAGACTTACATTTCAAAGTTCTCTCAGGATACATTCAAAAACTGATCTAAAACAAATTTCCCTCCAGCGTAAAACGTACACCTGAGAACTGAATGAACACATCTCATACCTTGTAGTTAGCCTGAGAAGACACCTTGTGCCCAGCTATGGCTCCGGGCTCCAACTTCCCACCAGGGCTAAGGGCTTGGGAGGCCATAGGATTTTGTAAAGTACAATTTGAGGGGAGGTGGGGAAGCGCTGGGTGAAAGATCAAAGTTAAGAATGGAGCCAGACTATTACATATGGGGAGGTGATTTTAAGTGTGTTTGCCAAGAAGGGTCACAGCTTCCGGAGCAGCCTCGCAGCATTGCACCTCAGCAAAAAAGTCCCGGCATAGGACCACTTTCAGCTCTGGGTTGACTCAGATGCGTAAGCTCTATCCCGCTGTCATTCAGGACCTTTCGAGCCGTCCAATCAGGATTCGCTGCGGGGAAGGTGGGCGGGCCGACGCTGGGCAACCACAACCGACTTCCTGTCGTGCCACAGTACTTCCGGTCAGGGATCTCCTGCTCTTAAACGTTCCGCGACGCTTTGCTGCCGACTCTGTCCCGCTGTGTCCTGTACCGAGTCATAGGAGGGACGCCGGGGCTCCAGGAACCTGGGCAATGGTGAGAGTTCTGGCCGGGGGTTCGGAGACACGGTTTGGGGTGGAGGGGTTGGTGGGAAGCGGCGGGGCGGGCCCGGCCTCCCGCGGTCCCCTCCGGGCTTTGCGGCCCCGAGTCCGCGGTCGCGCGGCTCGGCCCTCAGGCCCCTCCGGCAGCAGCGTGGGGGCGGGGCCGGCAGCCGGGCCCCGGGCGTCCTGTGGTCCCTGCGCGCGGCGACTTGGGCCGGAGCGTCTCTGGGCCGCTGTGCGCCCGCAGCCCCGCGTGTCCCAGACGGTGCGGGGCCCGCGGGAGGGTTCTCAGGACAGTCGGGCCTCGGGCTCCGGGGTCCGTGCGCGGAGGGGCTGCGGTCTGTGAGGTTCCCAGGGCCTCCTTTCTTCTCGGAGGGGACTCATTTTCTACTGAGTTTCCTAAACGTTTGGGGAGCAGAGTCTCAAATCCACGCCCCTGTCCCCCCAGCTCTTCCCAGGACCGATAATAAATCCCTAAATTTCCAGATCCCTCCCCGCATTCCCAACCACCAACTTCCCGTCTCCGATTCACAGCATCAAAATCAATCACAAAAAGACCCGATATGTTAATTGCTTATTGTTTGTCCACAGTCAATGGCTGGCCCTTTTAAAAGGGTTGATTTCTTGTTGGTGGCGTTTTTTCCTCCAAAGATTGGCACCTGAGCTAACAACTGTTGCCAGTCTCTTTCTTTTTGCTTTTTCTCCCCAAATCACCCCAGTATATAGCTGTACACTTTTTAGTTGTGCGTCCATGTAGTTGTGGCATGTGGGATGCCGCCTCAACAAGGCCTGATGAGTGGTGCTATGTCCGCGCCCAGGATCCGAACTGGTGAAACCCTGGGCCGCCGCAGCGAAGCGCCCGAACTTAACCACTCAGCCACGAGGCCGGCACCTGTTTGTGGATATTTTACGAGAGAAAAAAGTAGTGAAAACCTACCTGGAAAAATACTTTGTATGAAATCTTTAGGCCTTCTCCTCCCAGGGTGTGTCCTGGGCGCAGACATGCAGTTGTCAGTCCTTGGGTTGGAGGTTCCTCTTGGCAAACTTTTCCGGGCGATCTGTCCTGTCAGCACTGACTCTCCCTGGGTTTGTCTCCTTGAAAAGATGTATTCACTTTATTTTACTTTCAGTTTTTCAGTGAATAAAAATTTATTTAATCAATACAGCTTGAAACATAATATAAAATGTTTCCTTAAAGGGAAGAAAGAGGTGATTTTCAGAGAAAATGAAACATTCCAGTAGTTCATTGTATGATTTAAAAATTGTTTTTCTTTTTTCCTCCCTGATCATGTTAGTAACATTCTAAGGTCTGCTGTTTTATTTTGCGTGAGTTCAAATGGATTTCTGAGCCTTAGACTGGCAGACGTTAAGTGCTCAAGAATGATTATAAAACAATTTCCTGTCATGGAAATAATGAATTAACATCTTTTTCCTGGAATGCAGTATATCACTCTGGGGTTTCTTGTTGAGTCAGCAAAATGTCATACAGTTTTCTTCCCTCATTTCCACATAAAGCCTGATTTGAGTGTTTTAGCCTGATGGTTCAAGGACTGGGTTGGTGTATTTAAAGTATCAATCGTGGTCCAGAAAATTTCCAGTGGAGGCACAGGCCTGAGGTCGGTGTCTCTGAGCTAAGGCCCCCTTGAACCTGCAGAGGGAAGGCCTTGCAGGCCCAGTTGTCCTTCCTGGGGGGGCCTCCCCCTGCAGGTGTCCTACTGCTCACACCCCCATGGAAGGAGCCTTTCTCCTGAGAGGAGCTGCAGAGCCCTGGAAAGCTGGGGGTGCATGTGCTCATGGGGTGGGGAGTGTGACGCCCTTTCTGAGGTTGTGGTTGTGGTTCCTTAGGCCTGGACATTTTAAACGTTATGTTTGAGTTTTGCACCCACACTGTAGGTGCACTGAGAGTGTAATCTGTGCACAGTGAGAAAGTCTGTGAAGATCAGGTGTTTGTAGCTGCCCCTGATGCAGGAAGGGTTAATAATCACTGGAAAAAGGTTACCAACAAACTGACCCAGAGGTGAGAAGGCCAGTTAGCCAATGAGGAGTAAGACCTCCAGGGGCAGGCAACCTAAGACAGGCATTGGTCGCCTGGGGGCACAGATGGAGACACGATATCAAGAGCAGGAGGGCCCGTTGCCTAGGAGGCCTTGCATGCTCCCAGATAAAATATACGAGCACAGTAATAACATGATAATATCAAAACAGAGGCCAAGGGAGCGCTCCTTGAGAAATCACTAAGAATTCTTGGTATTTCACTAATTACTTCATCCAGAACACCTGTATATATTTAACAGATGTAAGTTATGTATATATTGAAATGCTGGTTATAATAAACTCAGAGTGGCCATCAGCCCTCTCTGCATCTATCCTGATGTGTACATTGGATTGCAACACTGACAGTGTTCCATCCCAAGGACAAAGGGATTATGAATTTGGAGTTCATGTGGGTCAGAAGCTTAAACTGAACCTGGCTGAGAGGTTCCTCACTTGTGAGAATGGGAGCCTGAGGGAGGCAGTGCTTTCATGCTCACAGGACAGGGAGCATGTGTGGGGCTCCCAGAGTCCATCTCTGTGGCTGCTCTGGGGTCCCCTGCCTCCTTCACCAGGGACAAAGCACTCCAGGGGTGACATCTCAACTGGGAGTGTTTCGACCCTAAATTTGGAATGTAGTCACTTTGCGAGTGTGTTTTCCTTCTGAACTGTAGGCAAACAGGAAGTTCCTGTGGACTGAGAATGTTTAAGGGCCATTCTCTTAGCTAATTTCAATTATACAGTACAGAATAAGTATATCAAATCTTCCCGTTGTAATCTTTAAATGCAGACACTCTTATTAGTCAATTACAGCTCTTTAAAGATGGGGAGAAGGGGCCAGCCCGGTGGCGCAGCGGTTAAGTTCGCACGTTCCGCTTCTCGGCGTCCCGGGGTTCGCTGGTTCGGATCCCGGGTGCGGACATGGCACTGCTTGGCAGCCATGCTGTGGTAGGCGTCTCACGTATAAACTAGAGGAAGATGGGCACGGATGTTAGCTCAGAGCCAGCCTTCCTCAGCAAAAAGAGGAGGACTGGCAGTAGTTGGCTCAGGGCTAATCTTCCTCCAAAAAAAAAATAAAAATAAATAAATAAAGATGGGGAGAAGAGTTTCCCGGTACATCTCATATTTACATAACAATATAGCAGTGAAAATGGGAATCACTTGCCTTTGGAATATTATATTGTTTACATTTCAAAGTTCTCTAGGGACACAGGAAAAAACTGATCCAACAGAAACTTCCTTCCAGTGTAAAACGCACACTTGAGAATTTGGTGAACACGTCTCATTGCCTTTGGTTGGTGCGAAGAGTCCCTGCACCCCGCTAGGGCTGTGGGGTTCCAACTTGCCAGCAGAGCCCAAGGCCCCAGGATTCTTAAGAACCAAATGAGTCGGGGTGGGGCGGGGATGGGTGGAAGGCTGATGGCTGGCAAGGCGGAAAGATCAGAATGGGGCCAGACACTTGATCTTACCTGGTGAGGTCACGTTTAAGTGTCTGCGTTTCTAAACGAGGGTCACAGTTACATGAGTGGCGTCGCTGCCTTACGCCAAGCCCTTGACCCCTAGAGGACATAAGAACCCCTTTTCCAGTCTGTCGTGGGCCACCCTCTTGTCTGTACTTGCTCCTTCTTCAAACTGAATCAGGGATTCCTTGCGCACACCTGCAACAAGCGTCTTGCAGAAGCTGCGGGAAGAGCAAAGTCCGCCCCAGTCGGGGGGGGGGGCGGTGGGGGAGTTTTGTTTAAATGGAAGTGACCAAGAGACAACAGGTGGCGGCCCACCAGGGGAAGGTGGTTTCCTTGAAGCTAGGTTCCTCCCTCTTTGATGTCACTCATCGGGGAGTGGGCGTGTCCTTGGGAACTGTCCAATCAGGGGCGGGGCTGGGCCTGTGGGTGTGGCCACGCATCCCACCAGCGTGGACGTCCCTGTTTGTTCTGGCCTCCCTCGGGTCGCGCGTGGACTGCCTCACCGGTCTCTGGTGGCTCTGCCTCAGCTTCTGTCAGGCTGTGACCTGCACTGGCTGCGGGGGTCGTAGGAAGGACTCGGGGGACCCGGGAGCCTTAGAAATGGTGAGAGTTCAGCCCAGGGATCAGGACGTGGGAGGAGGGGCTGGTGGGAAGCAGCGGGGCGGGCCCGGCCTCCCGCGGTGGCCTCCTGCGGTCCCCTCCGCGGTCTGCTGCCCCGAGTCCGCGGTGGCGCCGCTCGGCCCTCAGGCCCCTCTGTCCACAGCGTGGTGGCGGGGCCGGCAGCCGGGCCCCGGGCGTCCTGTGGTCCCTGCGCGCGGCGACTTGGGCCGGAGCGTCTCTGGGCCGCTGTGCGCCCGCAGCCCCGCGTGTCCCAGACGGTGCGGGGCCCGCGGGAGGGTCCTCAGGACAGTCGGGCCTCGGGCTCCGGGGTCCGTGCGCGGAGGGGCTGCGGTCTGTGGGGTCCCCAGGGCCTCCTTTCTCCTCAGGGGACACCCGTTTTCCCTGAATTTTCCGTTTACTTGGCGAGCAGGGTCTCAAACCCACAACCCTGTTCCCCCCGCCCGGCTCTCCCAGGAGTGGCAATAAATGAGTAAATTTCCCGTCTCTCCCCGCGTTCCCAAAGCCGTTTCCCCTCTCTAGTTCTAGGGATCATTATCAAGTATTTTTCTTTGTGGTGCACTTCAGCCAGACGCAGTATTTCAGTTTGTCCTTTTCCCTCAGAGCGATGGATAGCTCTTTTATTTTTTTTTTCTTTTTAGAGATTTGCACCTGAGGTAACAACTGTTGGCAATCTTCTCTCTTTTCTTTTTTCTGCTGCTTTTTGTCCCCAACCCCCCCCCCCAGTACACCCCAGTACACCCCAGTACATAGTTGTATACTTTTTAGTTGTGGGTCCTTCTAGTTGTGGCATGTGGGACGCCGCCTCAGCGTGTTCTGCTGAGCGGTGCCATGTCCGCGCCCAGGATCCGAACTGGTGAAACCCTGGGCCGCAGAAGCGCAGCGCTGGAACTTAACCACTCGGCCACGGGGCGGCCCCTGCATTTCCTCTTTTTAGGAAGATAACTTGACTGTCTGTGTGGGTCCATATGGAAAGCAGAGGACTGCCGTATTCTTTCTCCTGTCTAGTTTCAGGAGTCATTTCTGCTTTTGTGAGTTGTATTAGACATTTCACAGAGAAAATCATGCCGTGTGAAACAAATGTTGTAAATGTAGCTTCAGGATTCATAAAGACGTTCTTTCCTTAGAAGTAGAAGTTCCCCTCCGTTACTAGTTTATTATAAATTGATTTTGGATTTTTTTTTTTTAAAGATTTTATTTTTTCCTTTTTCTCCCCAAAGCCCCCCAGTACATAGTTGTATATTTCTCGTTGTGGGTTCTTCTAGTTGTGGTATGTGGGACGCTGCCTCAGCGTGGTCTGACGAGCAGTGCCATGTCCGCGCCCAGGATTCCAACCAACGAAACACTGGGACGCTTGCAGCGGAGCGCGCGAACTTAACCACTCGGCCACGGGGCCAGCCCCTAGATTTTTTTTTTTTAAGGCTTGGCACCTGCGCTAACAACTGTTGCCAATCTTTTTTTTTTGTTTTTTTTCCTGCTTTTATCTCCCCAACCTTCCCCCCACACACAGTTGTATATATATATTTTTTAATTTATCTTTTTTATTAATGTTATGATAGATTACAACCTTGTGAGATTTCAGTTGTACATTATTGTTAGTCATGTTGTGGGTACACCTCTTCCCCCTTTGTGCCCTCCCCCCACCCCCACCTTTTCCCTGGTAACCACCGATGAGATCTCCTTGTCAATATGTTAACTTCCACCTGTGAGTGGAGTCATATAGAGTTCGTCTTTCTCTGTCTGGCTTATTTCGCTTAACATAATACCCTCGAGGTCCATCCACGTTGCTGCGAATGGGCCAATTTTGTCTTTTTTTATGGCTGAGTAGTATTCCATTGTGTATATATACCCTATCTTCTTTATCCAATCATCAGTTTCTGGGCATGTAGGTTGGTTCCATGTCTTGGCTGTTGTAAATAATGCTTCGATGAACATAGGGGTGCAAGGGACTCTTGGGATTTCTGATTTCAGGTTCTTAGGATAGATACCCAGTAATGGGATGGCTGGGTCATAGGGTATTTCTATTTTTAACTTTTTGAGAAATCTCCATACTGTTTTCCATAGTGGCTGCACCAGTTTGCATTCCCACCAACAGTGTATGAGGGTTCCTTTTTCTCCACAACCTCTCCAACATTTGTCGGTCTTGGTTTTGGATGTTTTTGCCAATCTAATGGGTGTAAGGTGATATCTTAGTGTAGTTTTGATTTGCATTTCCCTGATGATTAGCGATGATGAACATCTTTTCATGTGTCTATTGGCCATATTTATATCTTCTTTTGAGAAATGTCTGTTTATGTCCTCTGCCCAGTTTTTGATCGGGTTGTTTGTTTTTTTGTTCTTAAGCCGTGTGAGTTCTTTGTATATTATGGAGATTAACCCTTTGTCGGATAAGTGGCTTGTAAATATTTTTTCCCAATTAGTGAGCTGTTTTTTGTTTCAATCCTGTTTTCCCTTGCCTTGAAGAAGCTCTTTAGTCTGATGAAGTCCCATTTGTTTATTCTTTCTATTGTTTCCCTCAACTGAGGAGTTATAGTGTCCAAAAAGATTCTTTTGAAACTGATGTCAAAGAGTGTACTGCCTATATTCTCTTCTAGAAGACTTATTGTTTCCGGCCTAATCTTTAGGTCTTTGATCCCTTTTGAGTTTCTTTTGGTGTATGGTGAAAAAGAATGGTCAATTTTCAATCTTTTGCATGTGGCTGTCCAGTTTTCCCAGCACCATTTGTTGAAGAGACTTTCTCTTCTCCATTGTAGGCCCTCTGCTCCTTTGTCAAAGATTAGCTGTCCATAGATGTGTGGTTTTATCTCTGGGCTTTCAATTCTGTTCCATTGATCTGTGGACCTGTTTTTGTACCAGTACCATGCTGTTTTGATCACTGTAGCTTTGTAGTATGTTTTGAAATCGGGGATTGTGATTTTGCCGGCTTTGTTTTCCTTGCTCAGGATTGCTTTAGCAATTCGCGGTCTTTTGTTGCCCCATATGAATTTTAGGATTCTTTGTTCAGTTTCTGTGAAGAATGTTCTTGGGATTCTGATTGGGATAGCATTGAATCTGTAGATTGCTTTAGGTAGTATGGACATTTTAACTATGTTTATTCTTCCAATCCATGTGCATGGAATGTCTTTCCATCTCTTTATGTCATCGTCAGTTTCTTTCAAGAAAGTCTTGTAGTTTTCATTGTATAGATCCTTCACTTCCTTGGTTATGTTTATCCCAAGGTATTTTATTCTTTTCTTTGCGATTGCGAATGGGATTGAGTTCTTGAGTTCTTTTTCTCTTAGTTCATTGTTAGTGTATAGAAATGCTACTGATGTATATATGTTGATTTTATACCCTGCTACTTTGCTGTAGTTGTTGATTATTTCTAATAGTTTTTCTATGGATTCTTTGGGGTTTTCTATATATAAGATCATGTCGTCTGTAAACAGAGAGAGTTTTACTTCTTCATTACCTATTTGGATTCTTTTTATTTCTTTTTCCTGCCGAATTGCTCTGGCCAACACCTCCAGTACTATGTTGAATAAGAGTGGTGAAAGTGGGCACCCTTGTCTTGTTCCTGTCCTCAGAGGGATGGCTTTCAGTTTTTGTCCATTGAGTATGATGTTGGCTGTGGGTTTGTGATATACAGCCTTTATTATGTTGAGGTACTTTCCTTCTATACCCATTTTATTGAGGGTTTTTATCATAAATGGGTGTTGGATCTTGTCGAATGCTTTCTCTGCATCTATTGAGATGATGATGTGGTTTTTGTTTTTCATTTTGTTGATGTAGTGTATCACGTTGATTGACTTGCGGATGTTGAACCATCCCTGTGTCCCTGGTATAAATCCCACTTGATCATGGTGTATAATCTTTTTGATGTATTGCTGTATTCGGTTTGCCAGAATCTTGTTGAGGATTTTTGCATCTATGTTCATCAGTGATATCGGCCTGTAGTTCTCCTTCTTTGTGTTGTCCTTGTCAGGTTTGGGGATCAGAGTGATGTTGGCTTCATAGAATGTGTTAGGGAGTACTCCATCTTCCTCAATTTTCTGGAATAGTTTGAAAAGGATAGGTATTAAGTCTTCTTTGAATGTTTGGTAGAATTCACCAGAGAAGCCGTCTGGTCCTGGACTCTTATTTTTGGGGAGGTTTTTGAATACCGTTTCTATTTCCTTACTTGTGATTGGCCTATTCAGATTCTCCATTTCTTCCTGATTCAGTTTGGGGAGGTTGTAGGAGTCTAGGAAGTTGTCCATTTCTTCCAGGTTGTTCAATTTGTTGGCATATAGTTTTTCATAGTATTCTCTTATGATCCCTTGTATTTCATTGGTATCTGTTGTGATTTCTTCTCTCTCATTCCTAATTTTATTTATTTGAGATTTCTCTCTTCTTGGTGAGTCTGGCTAAATGTCGATTTTGTTAATTTTTTTGAAGAACCAACTCTTTGTTTCATTGATCCTTTTCAATATCATTTATTTCTGCTCTTATTTTCATTATTTCCCTCCTTCTAATGTCTCTGGGCTTTGTTTGTTCTTTTTCTAGTTCTGTTAGGTGTTGTTTGAGGTTGCTTATGTGAGCTGTTTCTTGTTTAGTGAGGTGAGCCTGTATTGCGATGAATTTCCTTCTTAGGACTGCTTTTGCTGCATCCCAAATGATTTGGTATGTCGTGTTCTCATTTTCATTTGTCTCCAGATAATATTTGATTTCTTCTTTAATTTCTTCAATAATCCATCATTTGTTCAGAAGCGTGTTGTTTAGTCTCCACATTTTTGCACCTTTCTCTGCTTTTTTCTTGTAGTTGATTTCTAGTTTCCTAGCATTATGATCAGAAAAGATGCTTGATATTATTTCAACTCTCTTGTATTTATTGATGTTTGCTTTGTTTCCCAAAATATGGTCAATCCTTGAGAATGTTCCATGTGCACTTGAGAAGAATGTGTAACCTGCTGTTTTTGGATGAAGTGTTCTATATATATCTATTAAGTCCATCTGGTCTAATTTTT